GACCAAGATGAATTGTTCATGCCCTCAGGGTTAGCTCATAGTTACGAAACTCTAAAACCGAAAAACTGACATAAAGTAGGGTAGAGAAATGAGCCTGTTGCCAAAACTCGAATACATTGGTCATTCGTGCCGAGAAATACGTTAGTCATTCTAGAAAAATTCCAAAATGGCTGCTTATTTTGAATTGCAAAATCTGGGGTGAGATTGAAGTTATGAACAACACAGAGACGAAAAGACTAGCGCTGCGCTCAAAAGAAATTTTGTCGTTCACAAATCCGAGTTCGAAGACAGGTAGAAATAAATAATTTCACTCTTGTAGCAAACGAATCTAGCAAATAGAGCTGCGACGTAATCGTGCTGTAGTAGTGCTTATTATTCAACAGTACAAAAGGAAGGTTTGAAGCACAATACTAACGACTAAAGCGCGTCGATTCCTTACCTTGCATTTACCATTCCGCGAACAATTTTCCCGGTAGATGGACGGTTTGCACGCAACATTTTGTGCTATCGCGAGGTACACTCTAAGAATTTACATTGTCATCTGTTGTGCCAGATAACGAAGTGTTTGAACTGCAATAGCAGGACCAGTTTGGGCTTACGTTATCAGGCATACACATCGCGAATTAAGGCCTGATCTGAGAACTTTGATCCTGGATGTCACGCCAGCTCTGATCACCTTGACTGAGCCTCGCTCCACATCATCATCGCCAGGCAGCAGTTAACAGTGCAGAAATGGTGAGTGTCGTAAGCTGTTCAATTCGTGGGTAATCATACTATTACATGGTGTACCTGTTGCTGTTCTGATATTAACTATTGGATTCACCTAATAGGGGGCGGAAGGGGGGGGGGGGAAGGAGGAGCACGTGGTTTGAAAATTCGTACCGTATCAAGTAATTCGACTGGAAGGAAGCTCGGGGTATGTAGTGAAGATGGGCGAGTTTCCTCGCAGATATTGATTTTTTAGGAGGCGACAATAACCTTCGTGACAATGTTCCCCTACTGGATGTGACCCCTGGCTATTTCTGTAAATCTCCTTGCAATTTCACATGTTTTTGTCCTTACTGATTCCTTCTAAATTTACTGTCTTTTGCACGTATTTGAAGATTTCACAAGTAGAGCAGCTGCGAAGCGTTGTGGCATCGCAAGCGGAACGTATTCGTCATTTGGAGCAGCAGATTGAGAATATGGACAGAGATCTTTGTGCATCCCGTGAAGCCCATGATCTTCTCGAGTTCCAAGTTCTCGAAAACGAAGAAAACAATAAACAACAGGTAAGAACGTTTTCCGTTTTAAATTTTCTTGCGCGCACAGTTGTCAGAATGTTGGACCAGAAAATCTTGTCGAGTTCAAAGTGGTGGAAGAAATGTCTCCTATTTTTTGTTGTTCTGGTCAGTTAAAGACACGATTTGGGAATAGGCACACCCACGACATGCTGATGGGCAAGTATTGAAGTTGTGATGCTTCTGCGGATTGAAACTGCCCACAGAGGCGTGAACGTTGCGGCCAACTGTCGCCCTTCAGTATTCGTTCGTCGGATCTAACTTTGCCGAGGCAATCGGAGCGAAAAAGTGAAATCAGCGGCATTAGCGTGTAGTGAGGTTCAGAGACATTAGACTTAAAAGAAGGGATGAAATGAATACAAGCGAAAGTGGAAGAAAATTCGAAGAAATCCACCATAAGCCAAATTTCACGATCGCATCGAGCGGCAACAAGTAGTTCACACGACTCGTCTGAACGCGCGCGTTCCCCCACACTAACTTCGTCCAAGGCTGGCTGAGAGCAATTCCCCATTTATGACTTTTTCGACAGTTTCTTTTGTTTTCCACTCACTTACGAGTAAGTTAGCGGCCACATCTTCGCATTGTAACAGAAGTGCCTGCCAATCCCTGACAGCCAGCTTTGCTATTAAGGTAGGAACATACCACTAAAAAGCTCATAGTTGGCGAGGAATCACTGCATATAATCCGACATCAGACGGCAAAACAGAACACATCAATGGTTACTGTTACACCAGCTAAAGCAGGTACAACAACGAATCTTTTCAAGGTATAGAACATAGCTTATACACTGCTCCGCAGGATAGGCGGGTGAGGAGCGGTGCTTAAAAGTGAGTACCGCTAGATGTGGCGTGCATTTACACTGCTCCATTTTATGATACTTTTACTCAAACTATTATACAAACTCGCATAAAGGTGTTTTCAAAAAAAGCTCTGAAGTGAAAATGTGATGCATATTATCGTTCTAAATATTGAGAGAGCGCGAGAGAAGCGCGTAAAGTGATATGGAAACGTCACAAAAGTTGCATTTAACACTGTCGCTGCCACTGGATATCTTTTTGGAGGTAAGCGACCGCGTGAGACACCAAGCCGACGTGGCAAGATAAGATTTAAGGAACTTGATAACTGCGTAGCTGCGCAGCGGAAATGCCCCGATTCGAAAAAACGGTGGTCTTTGACCAAGCGATGGACCTTGCTTTTGCGGGTCAATGTGAGAAGCAGAAGAAGGAATCGCTCGGGCAAGGTGGCATTCTGCTACTATTCATAGGTGACGCTATCAGATAAGCCGTAAGGGAACCATTGCATATGAACGATCCCAATGACAAGACACGGGCGAATCCCTCCAACAAAATTCAAATGGTGGCTGAGTTGAAAACACTGGGAAGATCATTCTTGCCTTACCCCCTTCCCCCTCACACCATATACGCCCCAATGGACTGTAGGGTAACTGCACGACGTCAGTATGACCTCTGCAGACTCTGCGGAGGCAAGTACATGGCGAGACTAGTCGCTCCATGTGGAAGGGTCATGGAACACATGAACGGTTAAGTCGAGCGAAGCTGGAGCTCCATATAAGTACTCAGCGAATTCAGTCCCATGAAGCTGTCGAGTTTGAGGTTGCAGTTAGTATTCTGCTGCAAGAATCCTGCACTTCTGTGCGCAAGACGCTTGAGGCATTCTTAATTAAACTCTGACATCAAGAGTGAATATGAACGACCAGTGCCACAACAAAAGAATTTGCTCATTCCGACCTCCATCGATCTCCTTATCCATCGGTTTCTTATGGAAAGCTGGGCCATCCGAAGCCATTCACTGTGAGTTAGAATAGAGCTGGTCCGAAACCCACGCTGATCATCCATAAAGGTGAGTAGAAGTGGTTTGTAGTTAACGGCACCTCCTCAGCTTCTGGTCTATGGGAAAAATTATTCGAGTTAGAGATGATGTTTGGAGAGTAATAGCTCTTCCCTTGGCTGCGAAGCTCTCGACAATGACGAAGCCGAAACGTCGGATAAAACTTGGGCATACTAGTTGCAGCTCCATAAACTCAGATTCGCTGAAAGCCCAACTTGGTCATTCTTCGTACTGCTTTGCAAAAGGTGACCCCTGTTTTGTGTTCTGTGCATGTGCTCCTACACATGCAAAAAAAATCATGTCGAAAAGCACGATTTATATGGAACGACACTCTATTGAAGTACTAAATTGAGAATGAAATTCCATTAATCACAGGGATCTTCACAACGACATGATAAATGCATTGGCACTGAGAAAATGCCTCCTGAACGACATAACAAGGCTTCTGGGACATCCGACCTCGAAGGTGTAGGCTCTCAAAACATCATCGAAGAAGAAGCACTGGTGAGTTCTATGTTGAAACGTATTTCGATCTTTGGAAACTTCTCACTGTCCCTGCCCTACAGATTTCTAATCAGATGCAGACTAACGAGAGAAACATTCTGCCTACAGAATTGGGCTAGACCTCCAATTGTTAGGTTGGTGCAATGTGAACGTCGCCCATTATCGATGGCTGCCACTTCAACACGAGCCCATTTTTTTTACTAATAATTCCTTCCACCAAATATTGACCGAATTTTTCGACCGCGATCGTGTATCTACTCTACAGTTACAAAATACAAGGTGTCCCAAATTACTTGCGCCAAAATTCAAAAATTGACTAGAAAAGGTGTATCAGTTATTTTAATTTTCTGCGCTACTAGGGATGTGGTGGGTTAAGGAGGTTCTCTAGGAACCGCAAGTGTAAGTATTGGTGAAAAACTGCCGAGTATGCTCCCGATGAGTGCACATGAGGTGTAATCACAATTGGCACTGCGCTCAGTCACGTGCCGTGATAAAGGGACGTGCAATTGAAGGATTATTACGTAATTTCTTGTGTTTCCCCTCAAGACTGATTAGATGGTCGTCGAACGATGCAGGAGAGTAGGAACATTCGTTAACAAGTCAGGGCGAGGAAGTACAGTATGTTCAGCGTTACCACGGACAGAATGGTTGAAATGGTTGGACTACAATCCAAGGACTGCTCTCCAATCAGGGTCAAGCGTGCGTTGAGGAATCCTCGACATGTCACAGAGGGGGGGTCGTATTGGCCCGCTGGGGAGAGATCGGGCCCGATTGATACAGTAGGATCATCGTCGGAGGACAAACATTAAGGATCGAATCGATACCAGGCCAGAGTATTTCCAATAACAATTGATTCCGTCCACACAAAATCTTCGTGATTTAGAGGTGTCCGCTTAGCAATTCTTAGTGACTTTAGTGTTTCATCACCACACAAGTCAAAGGATCCGAAATTCGCACGTTTTCTAGGGATATTTTATCTTTCAAGTAGGTCCTCAAATCCAACGAGATGTGAAGCACACGGCGCATCCCAGAGTGGGCCCAGTTGGTTGCGCGCGCTTCAGCTACGGCTATCTTGATAACGAATCTTAATTCAGGAAGAATCAAGAGGGTTCTGAAAGAGTTCATGTTAAATTACAGAGAGGAGTACACTATTCAACAAGAAACGCAGCCTTCAGCGTCAAATTCACAAGCATGTAACCTTTAAAGTTGAGACCCGCTAAACAATTTTACACTTTTTGCAGAGAGAAAAGCACGAGGATTTTGAATCTGCTCCTACTTCAGTATGTAATCGCTCCTGCAAGGAGCTATAGTCGTTGGGATAGTGCTAATGTAGCGAAAAAGTACCTTTCGGCGGTACTCGGGCAAAAATCCTCAACGTGGCCATTTTTTAAATAGTGAACGTATTTAGCAGTTTTAGTTGCCTCTAGAAAGAGCAAATCTTCTAGTTTATGATGACGTATTAACTTTCCAGATTGCATGAGTTTGAACGGAGTTATGGCTTTGGAAAGCGTAAAAACTCGCACTCATCACGAATTTTCCTCGTTAATTTTGCAAAAATCCTCAACGTGGCCATTTTTTGAGTACTGGACGTATGAAGCTGCTTTAGCGACCGTTTGATAGAGAAAATCTTCTAGTTTTGTATGACGTATCAACTTTTTGAATTTGACGGAAATGAAGCAAGTTATTGCTCCGGAAAGTGTAAAAACTCGTGCTCGTCTCGAATTTTCCTCGTTATTTGATCTAAATTTGTTATTTCTTATAACTTCCTGTATTTCAGTACTGATTAGAAAAGCTCTTCACAAAACTCCCAAATCAGCTTTCAGATTGAAAATTCGTTAACTTTGAAGAAAGTTATAATCATTTGAATATTTGTTCAAATTTCAATAGTAAATAAGCTGCTCCACGGTCAACGCCAAAGTCCAGTCAACACACAGCTGGCGAAGGCTTTTACAAGGCTTCCTTTGAGCGAAAGGGGGACGTGTAAATTGAGAACCATAATCTGTGTAGTACTAGAATTTGGTAAGTCTTGTGGAGGAAATAAACAAAGAAGAGGTGTTGTCATAGTACGCCATTTCTAGTGACTAGTTTGACGTTTTTTGCTCCGTTTCTCGTTTGCTCGTTTGACAGGACTCGTCATTAATGATCATTCTTTGACTTTTTCACTTTTATACTTTTTAAACGAGTTTTTTTTGGACGATGGGGTAGCAGGGCTTTTTTATGAGCAGTTTTGGTGGAGAATTAAACAACTTTTTCATAGTTCGGCTTTTAAAGAGGGTTGTTTCATGGACTTCGGCCTTCGGCAGAGGAGGGGGGGGGGGTCGTATTTCCGAATTTTCCTCGACGCCTCGCTTGACCCCTGCCCATAGAAGGATGGGGAGATCGCTGAATGTATCGAAGTCATCGATGGGGCGCATTGTCAAGGAAAAGCTGCATTGCCGGTCCTATCACATGCAGAAGTGCCAGTTCCTTTCGTACAGCAACAAGCAGCAGAGGGGCCAAAAAGTTGGAAGGTCACTAGCGCGCTTCACTGGCGACACGCAACTCTCGATCGTTTTTCCTGCCGAGTACATGCTCAATGTGAAGCCGTGAGCTCACTGTGAAGCCGCCAAGAAGTGTTGAGTCGTAAAAACGACCATATTCTTACTGTAAATATCGGGAGTGCCATCTCACGAGGAAAGATTGCTGGAAGAACGGCTAACCCGGCATCAGTAAAGATTTGGAGGTGAGTCGCGGCCAATGGTGAGACGCCGTTGGTTTTCGCCGATTCATGTGTGAAGATCAGCAAGGACGTGCATACTGTGAACGTATTGAGGCCTTGGTCCAACTCCCACCTTGGGAGCAAGCCGTGGTGTTTCCAGCGGGACAGCGCTTCAGCCCACGGAGCCAAGCTCGTTCAAGACAGGTGGAAGCTGCGAGCTGGCCGAGTCGTCGCCGCGAGGAATGACCTTCTTGCTCCCCTAATCTTAATCACTGAACTCTCAGTCTGGTCCGTGATTAAGAGCAAGGCATTCCGAGCTCAACCTTCAAATCTGCATCATTGCAAGCAGCATCAAAGGGAGCCTGAAAAAAAGGTTTGCCAAGCATGGTGAAGTATTGAGACTTTTGGTCTTGGCAAAGCACGCATCATGATTCTCATCAAGGAATGTCTCGGGTGTAACATTTTTAAAGGATCAGCTTCATACTATTCTCTTAAAGGTTTGGCCATGGATCAACGATTAGCTTCCGTACTTGCGATCTGCTTCATGAGCAGAATTGAAGAACCAGTGCTGGCGCTTGCATTGATGTACTGCAGATATA